GGAAGCTGCTCAGACAAAGCAGAGTTCTTTGATGAAGGAGCTGAGTGCTGGTTGGTCACCAGCGCACCTTCGGGAAGCCCCTCCCTCGCCCGAGGATAGTGCTGAGGATAGTGGTGGGAAGCCGGCGTGGGGATGGGGACAAAGTCCACTTGGGCTCCGGGCTCCGAAAACCACACTGCACCTTCCTGGGATGCCCTGTTCGTCCCACTGGGTTACCCAGGTGTAATTTCGACGTGTAAAGTCAAGAGTAAGGAAACAGGAAATTTGAGTGAACGTAGCCTCCAGGCTAGAAGACAAACTGGAGGACGGAACCCCGGTGAGTCAAGAGGGCAGCGTGGTGTTTTAGGTGCCTTCCTACAGAGGGTTTCCCAGGCTGCGTCGACTGTGGCTCCAGCGTGAGATGCCTTCACCCAGCGGAGCATCCGCGGGCGCTGACCGAACACCTGGCTTGCGGTGATTCAGGCACGTTTGAGGGGCCATAGGCGAGCAGGAAGTGAGCTCACGGGACGTGCGGGTCTGCAGCGTCTGGGTGGCGGCAGCCAGGAGCCGGGGCCCGGGTTGCGAGTGAGCAGGTGTGGGCCGCTCAGCCAGAGCCACGCCTGAAAGGAGCTTTTCTCCACTCCTTGTTTCGCAGGCTCACCTAGAACTCACTTTGGGGAGCCCTCAGGCAAGCGGGGGCATTACAATAGCTCGTAAGCCCTCAAACGTCACAGACAGTAAGTGGTAACCAAGTCCTGACACAGGACCAAGTGGACTTGCCCTGCCTGGTGCCCGGTGTCTGGTGCCCACCGGTTCACTGGGCGTCAGCCTACTGTCCACAGTGTCAGTGACCTTAACCCGGTGCCTGAAGAGGGCTGCCGCTGAAGTGGGCCTTATTCTCTGGGCCAGCCACAAGGAAGCCTCTTCTAGACGATGTTTCAAGTGATTCTATACTAGCCTATCAACAAAGTTCAGACGAAAAGATCCTTAAGGGTAGTAGTGGGGTTTAGAGACTGTCGCGAGTAAGGGTGGGGACCCTGTGTCTGCAGGTCTTTTAGGAAAATGTCCAGAGAGGACGTCCTTGGAAGGACGGTAAGAGGAGGATGGCTCCCTGCACCAGGACTCTCCCTGTGTCTCTCCAGGACCCCTCATGTGTGGCACAGGTTTGGGGGCCTCAGAAGAGGGAGGGTTGTCTCTTGTGCTGCCACGAGGGAGGCGTCTGGAGCCAGCTCCAGGGAGGGAGAGTCTTGGGGACCAGACACTCACGTCGCAGCCGCTCTCCTGAGGCTGGGAGGTGCAGAGAAAGGGGCAGCCGACTTGAGGGAGGCCAGGAGCCGCGCCAAGAGGCGTTCAGAGTCACCTGGTGTTCAGCCAGAACCAGTGTCCCCGCTGAGGGCTGGACCTCCACAGGTGAAAGCACAGGGGACGCACCGACCTTCCAGGGAGGCCGGTTCTCACTGTTCCCAGCCCTCTCGACACTTGAGTTCTGGGTAGCTCCAGCTTCCTGGGTGAGAAAGGGGGTTCTCGCGGGGAGAGGGCGGGAAAGACGAGATTGGGTCCCGAGCCGAGGCCCCTTTCCCTCCAGAACAGGCAACTTTTAGGGATGCACACCTGTGGCTTCTGGTTGTCCGTGAAGTAAGCAGGCGTGGGCTCTGGGACAGCACTTCTCCAGCTCTGACACACAGACGCCTCATCGGGGATCTCGCTGACCTCCTGACATGGTAGGTCTGGGCCCAGGGGGTGGGCAAACTGAGCTTCTGAGTGTTTTTTTTTGTTTTTTTAAGGGTGTTTTTTTTTTCTTTATTTTATTTTGAGAGAGAGAGATCACACATGGGAGGGGCAGAGAGAGAGAGAATCCCAAGCAGGCTCTGCACTGACAGCACAGAGCCCGAGGCGGGGCTCAAACTCACAAACCATGAGATCATGACCTGAGCCAAAGTTGGACGTTTAATGGACTGAACCACTCAGGCACCCCAGCTTCTGAGTTTCTAATGAGCTCCCAGATGAGTCCTGGCTCTCAGTCTGCACTTTGAATTTAATTTTTTTTTTAATGTTTATTTATTTTTGTGACAATGAGAGAGACAGAGTGCAAGCAGCAGAGGGGCAGACTGAGGGAGACACAGAATCTGAAGCGGGCTCCAGGCTCTGAGCTGTCAGCCCAGAG